TAGGGTTTAACAATCTTACCCCCATTGAACAATGAGTGACTCGTAATCCCAATAATCCTTAGGTCGAATCACGTTAACGTCGGTGTAAACACGAGCTTTCGACATCGCCCGCGTCTGGTTAGAATCAGAGATCTCGACGAGAGAATCTGGATCGATCGTAGTACTACCGGAAACGTCCGAGACAGCTTTCGCTGTGGGAGTGACGATAGATAAGCGTAGGATAGGAGAGTGCGCCAACGGCGCACGTAAGGTTAAGACGGCGCACAAGAGACGTCGAAGAGGAGATTCGAAGAAGAGCGTATCTATCATTCACTATCGAAGAGGAGATTATGATTTCTTTTTGTTTTCCTTTTTTTTTCGTTTGCGCCAACTAAATTTACCAAAAAGGCCTGACAAACCATTATGGGCTTTATGGCCCAATATAAATGAAATATGGATTGTATTTCGATCGGTGGGTCTTTAAATTATGGTGCTAATTCTCAAGAAAATCTCTGCAATAATGGGCAAGAAAAAGGTGGAAACTTTCTATTTGTGGTGTCCCCACGATTCAAGATTAAGAAGGGGCTGCGACAAAGCCATTTAAAGATTGATCAGACTCCTATCACTATCAATGGGTTTTCCGACAAATGTAACAGCTAATTGGTCGTAGTCTTACATACGCCCGAAGATTACGCTAATGGTTGTTTTAGGAGTTGAGGCATTTGATGGATGCAGAGACTCAATGTATAGTGTGGAGTCTACAATTGTTAACATCAGATTGCAAAATGCTATTGATCTTGAAGTGGTTGAATTGGTTAACGATAATGACTCTTGATTCCAATGTTGAGGACTCCAAGGAAGATTTTGTCGTCTTTACTCTCATTTAGCTGACCAAGCCATGAAAACAAACAACTAGAGGTAAATAACTCAGATTCATGTATCATTTTCTGTTTTTATTGTTCGCAACTATTTGAAAATTTTGAATTTTTCGTTGAGGACGTCTTATATTATTCAAGAGACACAATTAATTGCAAGATTGAGTTGAGTCTCAATCAAAATGTTGAGGCATATAGTGACTTCAATTATCAGAAAGAAAAAAAAGGAAGAATTTAAAGATGATAAGACTCTTTGTAGGGACAAAGATCATATCATTCATGTTCTGTCACAAAGCCAAGATTCTGCAGCTTACTTATACTTCTTCACTCTCTTTTCCTTTACCATTAAACCAATTTATAGCTAACATTATATTATATTTGTATGAGATATATACATATGTGGAGAGGAATCAATACTCTTTTATTTAAGTTGGAATTATTAGTTTTGGTCCAAAGATGTGTGTCTGATCAACTTGGACTCTTGTGAATTTTTAAACCAATCCATTACCACACACACTCCCTCCTTAGAGCTTAGACTGACTCTCTATCTTGTACTATCCATGAGAATTACATAACTACCCTGTTCTGTTTTGTTCATTGCTCTTGGTGGTAAGGGTAGTTTGTGGTTTTCTTTGTTTGGAGAATTTGAGTTCTATTTTTCTGTTTGGTCACAATTATTAGAGGAAGAAGCTCATTTGGTTGATCTTATTCTCCCTTTAGTACGTTACGGCACGTCTTCTTCATGAGAAGGACTTGAAATAGTGTTCCATGGTGAATTTCTTGAGTGAAAAGAAACTGCGAGCTAAGTGTTCGTAATATGTCAGCAAAGAAGAAAGATCTTTTGTCTTCAGCCATGAAGAGAACCAGTGAATGGTTCTTTATTCTCTTCATAAGATTATTTTGTTTCTCAATCTATTTTTCTTTCCAGTTCTGAAGTAGAAATCGTTTCTCTTTTGCTGTGATTAAACATAAAAATCCACTCTTTATTACATCGTTTCAGGATCTCTTCTCAAGAAGTTTCTAGTGATGTCACCGTTCATGTAGGAGAAGCTTCTTTTTCACTGCACAAGGTAGATTCTAGATCTATATTTAGCGATCAATCTCTATGATGTTAAACCAATGTGATGATCACATTCTTGCCGATTCGGTTTCCTTTCTCTCTGAATCTTGCAGTTTCCACTCTTGTCAAAATGTGGGTTTATCAAGAAACTTGTGTCGGAATCAAACAAAGATTCAGATTCCACCGTTATCAATATAACAGATATCCCAGGAGGCTCTGAAGCATTCGAGCTAGCGGCTAAGTTCTGCTACGGAATTAACTTTGATATGAGTACAGAGAACATTGCCATGCTGCGATGTGCAGCAGAGTATCTAGAGATGACAGAGGAACACTCTGTGGAAAATCTCGTTGTAAGAGCCGAATCTTACTTGGATGAAGTAGCTCTCAAGAGCTTATCGAGTTCGATCACTGTCTTGCACAAATCAGAGGAATTGTTGCCCATTGCTGAAAGAGTAAAACTTGTGAGCCGTTGCATCGATGCAATTGCTTATATGACTTGTCAGGAGAGCCAATTTTGCAGTCCTTCCTCCAGTAATAGTGGTAACAATGAGGTTGTGGTTCAGCAGCAGAGCAAGCAGCCTGTGGTTGATTGGTGGGCTGAAGACTTAACGGTCCTTAGGATTGATTTGTTTCAACGTGTCCTGATCGCGATGATGGCTAGAGGGTTTAAGCAGTATGGACTTGGTCCAGTGCTTATGCTCTATGCTCAGAAATCTCTTCGAGGGTTGGTGAGTTTCCTGCAAACACACATACCATTTTGGTTCGGTTGATGAGTCTCTTCTTTTGTTGAAGTTCTAGGGACAAAGAATGATCCATAAAAAGTTGTTTTCTTTCTTTTCTTTACAAAATGCAGGAAATTTTCGGGAAAGGTATGAAGAAGATTGAACCAAAACAAGAACACGAGAAAAGAGTGATTCTTGAAACAATCGTAAGCCTTCTTCCTCGAGAGAAAAATGCAATGTCGGTTAGCTTTCTCTCTATGCTTCTACGTGCAGCAATATTCCTTGAAACAACGGTTGCTTGTAGACTTGACTTGGAAAAGAGAATGGGATTACAATTAGGACAAGCCGTGCTCGACGATCTCTTGATTCCTTCTTATTCATTCACTGGAGATCACTCTTTGTTTGATACTGACACTGTTCAACGCATTCTCATGAATTATCTTGAGTTTGAAGTTGAAGGAGTCCGCTTAAGCAATAACGGTGTTGATCTTGCTGGTGATATGGAACGTGTTGGTAAACTGTTGGAGAATTATATGGCTGAAATTGCATCTGATAGAAATGTGAGCTTGCAGAAATTCATCAGTTTAGCTGAACTTATTCCTGAACAGTCTAGGGTTACTGAAGATGGGATGTATCGAGCCGTCGACATCTACCTTAAGGTAATATTAAGTTAGTAAAGATCTATATTCATTTGCACTCTATATTGATCAAATACTGAATCCGTTTTGAGGGATGACTACAAAATCTGGTAAATATTCGACTTTTACAGGAAGTGGTCCTGAAACTGATAGATACTTAGCATTTTCATAAAATTATGGCAACTAATTTCCTGAAACTGATCAAGACTTATCACTTGCAAAAAAATGATGGCAACCCACTTCCTGAAACAGATATGTCTTGTGTTTAAGGAAACTAGTTACCCTTTTTTTTTTTTTGTATAACCCAAAACTCAAGAGTTAAAACCTCACTTGAGATCTTGTGGTTAAGGAGATGATCAAGTTCCCATTATCTTAAGAGATTTTGAAAATTTAAGAGATATCGGGTGAACACTTGCAGGCGCATCCAAATATGAGTGATGTTGAGAGGAAGAAAGTATGCAGCTTAATGGATTGCCAAAAACTATCACGAGAAGCTTGCGCTCATGCAGCTCAGAACGATCGTCTTCCTGTTCAGACCATTGTTCAAGTCCTTTACTACGAGCAACAACGTCTACGAGGAGAAGTCACTAACGATTCAGATTCTCCAGCCCCACCACCACCTCCACCAGCAGCTGTTCTTCCTCCCAAACTCAGCTCCTACACCGACGAACTCTCCAAGCTGAAACGCGAAAACCAGGACTTGAAGCTCGAACTTCTCAAAATGAAAATGAAGCTTAAAGAGTTTGAGAAAGAGAGTGAGAAGAAATCGTCATCATCAACTATCAGCACCAATCCAAGTTCACCAATCTCAACTGCTTCCATGGGTAAGCCTCCATTACCAAGAAAATCATTCATAAACTCTGTTTCAAAGAAACTCGGAAAGCTAAACCCTTTTGGCATCACACCATACAACGGTAGAGGCAGAACGAAACCACCAAAAGATCGGAGACACTCTATTTCTTGAAAACCATATTTTACACACATATAAGTATGTTTAATTTTTGCTGGAACTTTTAAGTTCTGATTCAAGGATTTTTTTTTCTACTTATCAACATTTGATATTTTTGTGTGTTTATGATGTTTGTTTGTACATAAAGCTGGTAATATTTTTTCAAGAAATATTCTAAAATAGCTTGAAAGTAAGTTTTAGCTCCAAGAGTATCACAATCTTGAAAGAAAAATAAATTCCATACATATTATTATGTGAAGCTTTATGAAAAGAAAGTAGAACATAAAATATGGTATTTTTGCTAATAAATGTATAAAACTTTATCTGTGGAACTTATCACTTGTATGACTCATAAGTTATGAGTATAGATCATAGATTCAGAGAATTTGGGATTCTAAAGCTGATAATGATCAAACAAGATCGTGGGGTCATGTATGAAAAACTAATAGTAGTAACTTTTCATTTTCAATATTTTTGGAAATTAGAAAAAAGTATATATAAATCAGGATTAAAACAGGGGAAGTAGGTGATGCTTGAAGCCTAAAGGGAACATGCCAGCAGATAGTGCATGTTCTTGTCCCATAACTAATTCATCATTGGCCCCTTTTATAACTTCTCCTCTATTATTATTATTTCTTATTCATAATAATTCAATTTTGCTTACCCAAAAAAAAAAAATTCAAGTTCATTATCTTCTTCTTTTTTTGTGCATTTTATAGCTAAAGATCGAACCTTATATAGATATTTTGAGCTCTAGAATAATTATTAATGTTCATCTTCAGAAACAATAACACATTAATATTGATTTTATTTACAAGAACCCTAAAAAGAACTAGTAAAGAAGAAAATTACTGATAAGCATTAAATAAAAAGGAAAAAAATCACCTGATAAGAGGCATGATAAAACAATCTCATCAGAAAATAAAAATTAAACTACTAAATTGGAAAAAGAGATGCAAATCTATTTCAGAATACAGTTAAAATTAATATTATTTATTATCAAATAACATTCAAGGTCAATGCTTGAAGCCATGGCTGCTTCTGATGCTTCATCATTCTTTCTTGCCTCACTTGTTCTTCAAGATTGTTGTTATTGTTATTACTTGATCCTGTCGAAGACGAAGAGAAACTCCGGCGACCGGAATTTAAATTTCCGTCCATCATCTCCGGCAAAGAGTTCTTTTTCTTCTTCTTGTTCATCCTCATCAATTCATCACCACCGTAACACGACGGACCTAGAGTTAACTCGATCTCACTCTCATCCATAATCTCTATATTATTACCACCGGAGAAATTCGCCGGCCGGTCAATCTCATGGTCAACTCTTCTGATGAATGTTCCTAGACCTGAGTTTACATGATTATTCTTGGTAGTAAATTTGTTAATCTCCATGTTCTTCATCAATATCTTCTGAACTTGATATAATCTATGAAGTTCATATACCTGAAAATGCATTAATTAAAAACCATATATTAATTTTAACATGTAACATATATATGACGTGAAATGTGTAATATATGGATTCTAATTATTACCTGTTGCTTGAAAGTTTCTTCATGTTTAAGCATAGCCATTTTCATGCACTGCTTATCGTACGGATTAAGAAGCTTCTCCATGTTTGACGTTCCAAGAGATTAGGATTTTATTTCATCAAGATCTCAAGGAGATTTGATATGACGAACTTCGAACTTTGTTTTGTAATAACCTGTGAAATTTGAAAGTTGTTAGGGACAGGAAAAAAAAATAAAAAAATTGTCTGCTAGGATCGGTTTAGATTCTGCAATTTTTAGCCACTAATGCTAATAAATCTGAGCACACATGCACAAAAATATCTTCATATATCTATACATACAAAATTTCATAACAATATATATCGTACTTTGAAAACCAATTTGGTGGTTCATGTTCTTTCCCTTAGACGCATGTCAATCTTGTCTTTTCATTAATAAAGAGTCTTTTACATTCTTATGGACTTTTGTGGTTTTCACAGTAAGAATTGATGTCAAGTTTGGTGGGAATAATAATAGAGCTGTTCAGTCTAAAATGAACAAAACCCAATCTGAAAATTGAACTGAATTATATTTTGGTTCAAAAAATTTAGTATCCGAAAAAGCAAAAACTAATATATAATACAAGTTGATGAAGAAATAAAATCAAATTAAGAAGAGATAATAAGTAGTGGTGTTATCATTACTGACCTGGAACCAATTTGGTTTAGAAGCTGATTATACGATGGAAGAAGATGATGAAGGAAATTAAAGGAGTTTTTTTTAAGAAGGGAATAATGAGCTTGAGAAGGAGATGATTATGATGAGCTTAGAGAAGAGATATGGATTGGTGCGTCACATTGTTCGTAGTTATATATACTGCAGATAAATTATTTAAAAAGAAGTTATCTAATTTAATGATTATAAAAACAAGGTTTAAGTAATCATTTGTTTAAACATATTAATTAATCTCTCTCACACACATATCACAAGAACCAAAGTGATTGTTGCAAACTCATGCCCAAACAAAACAAGTGTGTCTTTAGCCAATAGCCTTCTTCTAAGAAATATGCCATATGCCTCCTCTTCAGACAGCTCCAGCAAAGCTTTACTTACATTAATCCATATAATAATATCTAAATAAGTCTACATGTAAGTATATATGTCTACATAATCGTGTACATGGATACATGCTTGACAGATGAGACAATACTAGATTCAATTTCAGATCCATCACATATTCACATAATTAAATTCATCCATAGAATAATAATATTCATGGCTTGAGGGGGTTTATGATTCATGGTTTTTATATTGGTGGTTGAAATTTTATATTTATATCATCATTATGAATACCGAAATTGTTTTGGAGTTTTTCGTTGAGCACTTGAGCTTTATTTTTTTGGTAAAATCTCCCGAATGTGTGTGTGTATATATTGTCAAATAAATGTGAATTTAGTGCTTGTTGGAGACTTTATATCTTATAAACTTTATAATAATAAATAATATATGATTGGGCTCTATAATAATTATGATTAAGATATAATATAGACCAACGGGGAACATCTTATATCTTGCTGAGCTTGAATCACATGCAACCCAGACTAACAAATCAACAAACCCAGTTGTCTTAATAAATGTATTATACAAAGAAGAAGTATGATTAGTAAAAATTTGTAGATATTCTAAAATAATTAGGAGAGACTTTTTAGAGAATAATTTGGTATTTAGGGAGAGAGAGCGAATCAGAATCTACGAATAGGTGGCATGTCGTGGGTCCTGCAAGTATGGGGGAGAAAGAGATCTTAGCCGTTGGATTTTGTTAAGGATGTCCTTTCGAACTGTTCAAAAGTCTTAAAAACTGACCCAACAGGATCTGATCTCCACCGTATCTACTATCTACAAAAACACACATAAAAGTGACCAAATAATTCTTCTATAAGTAATTATCACATTTATTTTTAGTATTGTTTATATGAAGAAGTTTTTCTGATTAAATGTTCCTGGACCAACTTTTTGTTCTACATTAGAATTTTATTATCTCGTTGAGTTTGCATGTTATGTCAAATTTAAATTAATAATACAAGACATGGCTTTAATTAGAGTTGGCCGTTTTGTGTTGATTTTATCGTCTATATAAAGTCAATTTCTTATGTAATGTGTAACGGGAACAATGTCAAATCCTTTACAACTCACTAATCATAATTATATGTTAAGGAATGATTTAGGAAATAAAACTATAGATAAAGTAGCAAAAATGTCAGAAGTCTAGTATTTATATATTTCTATTCATTAATCATTATGTTTATTTATACAAAACTTGAGCTACAAATTTTTTTTTCTTTTTTTTGCCTATCAAAATTTCAATGAAATTATTTCATGGTGTTAACATATATCCATAACAATAAAACAAGTTATAATCGTAATCTCTTAGATCTCTTCACAAAAAATATGTGGGAATTAGCTAACATGTTGAGTTGAAATTAGATTTAAACCTAGCCACTAACTCTCTATCTCTCATTTCATTTTGTCAACTCCATGTATCAAATTTATCGTTATTTACTAATGTATAACCATCTGTTATGTTAACTAGAAAAACATGTGACAACTAGCTACCAATTTTATCTCTATAATTACCCAAATAAACTAAAGAAAAAAACGTGCTTGGAAATGTGGATGTGAGAGAGAGAGAGAGGCACGCGTTGCCGGAGAGAGGAGCGGCAATGGCATAGAGCCGTGGGTCCGATCGACGCCCGCGTTTGTGGAGTGCTCATTCCTTCCTCGGAAATTGTGGACAACAATTATTTATACTTTTGGAATGGCCAAATAATAGAATAAAATGTGGATCAGACCCAACAAAATTAGATGTAAATGAACGATCGAGAGTTGTGAAGATCGAGTGTCTTCCGTAGGTTCTTGAAGCAAGCGAGACTCTGACTTCTGCAGTAATGTTTTGTCCCTCCTCCTCCGCTACGATCACGCGCTTTATAGTTTATACGATCCCTTTTGTTTTTTTTTACTTAGTCTCTTTCAATTTAAATTAACGATGAAAAAAAAAAAAAAAAACGATACCATATTTTTGCGAGTCTATGATGTTGTAGTCTATACGCATGGATATGTGTGTGTGTTCATACATGCGTTTCTTTGATTGCTTTGAAATTTCTTATTCGTTGAAATATATAAACACAAAAATCCATGCGAAATTGTATACATGCTAATCTGTATACATAGCGTTAACATTTATTAACATATAGTTTGATTTTGTTGTATACATTTATATATATTAAGAAATTTCATACTCAGGATTTTGTTGTATTGTGAAACTTCTATCTAAGTATTTCTTATCTAAGATTGTGGTATCCAAAATATAAATGATGAAACTTTTTAGTGGTTCTCTCTTACCGGATTATGAAGCTTAGGATTTCTGACTTTTAAGCAAATTGTCATCTTTAGAGGAGGATTTGTTATTCGTTGGTTGGTTGGAGAATCTTCGTTACATTCTTGTAAAGATTTTCTCACAGATAGGATGTCTTGTTGGTTTATTATGTGTCTATTTGTCGAGTTTAATTTGCTTAAGTTCATTTTTTGTGGCATGTATTTTCCTATTACTCTTATCTTTTGCCTCTTAGTATAGTACTTTTTTTTGGACAAATCCTCTTAGACCATCCATCTCTAATGGTCATTTTTGGGTAAATGTCTTTAAATTTTTTAATAATTAATTTTAATGTGATTTATTGTTGAGTGTCTTTAAAGATTGTGAAAGTGTCTCTAAGTAGATATTTTAGTCATTTTTCACACATTTTAAAGACACCCATCACCAAATCATATTAAATTTAATTATTAAAAAAATTAAAGACACTCATGAAAACATAACCAATGTAGATAGCTTTAGTATAGTACTTTGCTTTTTTTTATATAGGATATTAAATTTCGGAAAAATTTAATGTTTTCCGCCGGCATATGTTGTAATCCTCCAAATATCCACCATGGTAATTCTAATCTTAACCGGATGACAAAAAGAAAAAAAAAAGGAAATGGATAGGAGAATTTCGTTTTGAGACATGTTGAGAAAATCAAGGGTCACGGCCATCTGAATTTCTGAACCTCGGGTCCCCATTTCATAATCACGAGCTTGATTATGATTATTGATTGATTATTGAAAAGTAAGATAAGTTGAAAAAAAAAAAAAACAAGATGATTAAACAAGTGATTTTTTCAAGTTCACTAACACTAAGGGTAATTATGATGACCAATGGGTGACATCTCGATTTCCTAAAACGTCCTTATTTTTACTGAGTTTTTTTATAAACCAACTCTCTTTCACTTTTTTCTTATTCCCTCTTTTATTTATAAAATCAATTAAATATTAAGTTTTTCAATTGTTAAGGAAACTGATCGCCTATCAGGCATTTTTCACATCCCCTGTAAGCTCATCTGATCAAAACTTATGCAAGAAAAAAAAAAAAAAAAAAAAAACTCAAAACTTGACATCAAAATCAGTAAATGGACATGAATGAATTTTCTTATATCGATATAAAATTACAATACTTTTTGGTCACCCAGTCCTATATATTCAAAAAAAATTGTGTTGCTATTTTTGCTCTGCACAAAGGTCACGTTTGGGAGTATCTTCTCCCTTCTTAAATTCTCCAAGTGTCAAATGGCATGTTTCTTGTTGCTTGATGACCCTTTTAGATTGCCTGAGACTGAGATGACCCACCGATTATGTATTTCTTATTACGTTAACTTACCCTTTTGAGAGTACCTTCTATGTCCATGGGCCTGAATACACGGAACACGACAAAGCCCATAAAAGTCAAATTTCCCAAGTTGGCCCAAAACAGAAAGATACTACTACTAGAGTACTAGTACGTAGACATTCTACAAAGTCAACGATTAAATTTTCAAATTCTTTTACTAATTCAAATGCCAATTTACTTGGGGAAGCAACTCGTCGGCCATCACCAAGAACGTGGCTCCAAGTTACATATATGATTCGGCCGAATTTTGAATACTTCTTCAAAACATATATAATTTTTCTAAACCATATTATTGATAAAGTCTATTTCACCATTCCTATAAATATCATTCAATAGTTTCTTCATTTCTCACAACTCAGACAATCTCTCGCCTAAACACAAGAACTTCCAATTCCCGAAAAAATGGCGCGGTTTGGTCTGGTTCTAGTCGTGGCTCTTAGCATCACCATCTCTATGCTCCCGGACACAACCACTGCTCAGCTCAAAACAAATTTCTACGGGAAATCATGTCCAAATGTTGAAAAAATCGTGAAACAAGTCGTTAACCAGAAAATCAAACAGACCTTCGTCACCATCCCAGCTACTCTCCGTCTCTTCTTCCACGATTGCTTCGTCAATGTAACGCTCAAACTTTTGTTGGTTTTTTATGTTTGAAACCTATGATATGATGATTTAAATTTTTTTGTATGTAGGGATGTGATGCATCGGTCATGATTCAGTCAACGCCTAACAACAAAGCCGAGAAGGATCATCCAGACAATCTTTCTTTGGCCGGAGATGGATTTGACGTTGTGATCAAAGCCAAGAAAGCTATTGACGCTATCCCAAGTTGCAAAAACAAAGTCTCTTGTGCTGATATTCTTACTTTAGCCACCCGAGATGTTGTTGTCGCCGTAAGTTATAGATTTAAATTTTTTTCCAATCATAGAAAATGTTTTTGGGAAATTCTAGGTCAAAAACACAGAACTTTATAGTTGCTATCAATACAACAATGTTAAATTTAGTTTTTTTTTTTTTTTCTTGGATGTGTTTAGGCCGGAGGACCGTCTTACACGGTGGAGCTCGGAAGGTTTGATGGTTTGGTGTCGACTGCGGCTAGCGTTAACGGAAACTTGCCAGGACCAAATTTCAAAGTTACAGAACTTAACGCGCTTTTTGCGAAAAACAAACTTACCCAAGAGGACATGATCGCTCTTTCAGGTAATGATTAAACAAGCTTTTTGCGAAAAAAAACTCGATTTGTTTAGAAATAAAACCACTTATATATATCTCCAAAATGGATATAAATTATAATCTAAGCTATTAAAATTTTCCAAACAATGCAGCGGCTCACACACTTGGATTCGCTCATTGTGGCAAAGTGTTCAACAGAATCTACAACTTCAACCGCACACACTCCGTTGACCCAACTATAAACAAAGCCTACGCTAAAGAACTACAGTTGGCTTGCCCCAAGAAAGTTGACCCAAGAATCGCCATCAACATGGACCCAACCACTCCAAGAAAGTTCGACAACATTTACTTCAAGAATCTGCAACAAGGCAAGGGACTCTTCACTTCCGACCAAGTTCTCTTTACCGATGGTCGCTCAAGGCCCACCGTTAACGATTGGGCCAAGGACCCTGTTGCTTTCAACAAGGCTTTTGTAACCGCTATGACCAAACTCGGCCGCGTTGGTGTTAAGACTAGACGCAACGGTAACATCCGTCGTGACTGTGGCGCCTTTAACTGATTTTCCTTTTTGGGTTTTGTTTTCGAGATTTGTTTCTTGACGTGTTATGAGTTTTTGTTGTTGTTTTCTGTTTGTTTCTGCTTCTTGTATTTTTGAAAACCATTAACAAATTTAAACCGTTGTTTTATTTCTTTTGGCTGTAATATTAATAATGATCTTATTTCTATTAAACTTGTTTAACAAATCCAACCTAAGCATACAAAATCAACACAAACCAAGACATATATACACAAAACCTAAAGATGTTCAAAACAAACTCTGTAAAGGAAGAATCTGATCTATCTATTTAAAGAGTTAGTAGCTTGTCTGAATCTGCAGGCGATCTTCTCAAGCTTTGCAGGCCAATCTCCCCCGAGTATCGACGGATTTAACTCCATAGCTACTTGAAAATCTACCAGAGAAGATGCTGGTGAAGCGTTACTTGAAGAACATACTTCTCTTTGGCGGCTACTAGACCTTGAAGCTGCTAATTCAAGACATGGTTTGATCAATCTCTTCAAGAAAACATCCAACCCTGCGTTTAACGTGTTGGCAAACCCAACCGAAACCTCTAATCCTTGCTCCATAAACCCCGAGTCATCTTCGAGTTTCTTCTTTAAAGAAACCGAATCAGGAAGCTCACCAGAGGAGCAACAACATGTGCCTATACGATGTTGTTTCTCTATAACATCTCTAAGATTAACACCAAAAGGAGCTTCAATAGGTTGACTTCTCCAACATCGAATCAATTGGTCAACTTCTTCACCATTTTCCATTAACCATTGTTGTCTACCACTAGAAGAAACAACCTCAGTGATTAGACTTTTACCTTTGCTAACATTACTATCTTTAAACCTCCGTTGAGTCCTTCCTTTACGAGGCGATTTAGGAAGGTCTTTGCACAAAGATTGGAAACTAAGACTTGTCTCAAAAACTCCATATAATTGCTTCTTCTTCTTCTCTGAATCTACTACACCATTCTTTATCAACGGAGGTGTCTTTGAAGAGAGACATACGTTCTTAAGAATCCCTCTTAGCAAAGCGTTGTGTAGACTTATATTCTCCCTCTTCACCGTCGCAATGATTAGCTTATCGAAATCAGATTTGCTGATTTTCAAACTCAAGAATTTCGATAAGAGATTAAGGTAGCTCTCAGTTTTGGCCCGACCAATCCTCTTCTCAATCTGAGATTTTAACACTGCTATGTCTGTTCTAACGGCATGATGCTGACTCGTTGGCATTTGGGTCCCTCGAATTTCCCTATAAAACAAAAAAAAAATACTGAATCTGCATTCTCGTATAAGTCAAATCACGAGTGAATAAGGTCAACGCAAGCTGCGATATACCAAAAAATGTCGAATTTAGATCCGAATTACAAAACCCAGATTGTAATTCGTCGGAATAAGTAATTTTTTCAACTTCATTCGATAATTAACAATTCATGTAATCCCCCGAACGAGAACTCACACATGAACACTGTGAACAGTAAACCTACCAATATATAAAAAATAAAATCCCAGTTTCGATTCCCGAGAGAAATCCAAACAACAACAACAGCAAAAGTTTAGAATTCTCAGTCATGAATAGTGAAACTTGAATTCTTTCCACAGATTACCAGATTCGGAAAATTCACAGAGAACTCGAAAAGTTAACTAACCTTTGTGAAGAAGACCAAAGAATCGAACAGTAATGAACTCGATTTTAATCGCGACTTGTAGTGGAAAAAAAAGAAGAAGAAGGATTTTGAGGAAATTTAGACGAATGTAGATCGCATTTTCTAATTTCTTTTTGTTTTTTTAAGAAGCTTCTGCTTTGAAAGAGTCAACGTTTAGTCAACGCGGCACGTGCAAAATTTCACACAGCTGGAGAGTTTGCTAACGGACCAATCACGTTACTTGGTTTGCTAAATAAAAGAGTTTGAAAGTCAGCACATTCAGACACAACGGGTCCGGTCAGGTTAAAATTCCCTACACTACTAATCCTTAATTAAGATAAGATAAGCATCATTATATAAGATCAGCAGCAACCCCATTAATTGGTGCCCAAGCCGATGCAAACACAACACTATGTCCCTTCCACGTCAGCACAAAACGTTCCACGTCATCATCGTCCTCAACATCTTCCTTCATTCCCCAACCGGTGGCGTGTTCCTCCAGCATTGTTTTAACCTCCGTCCCCGCCCTCTCGCCGAACCCAACTCCGGCAAACTTAGCTTCCCTCATCCGCTCGAACCACCGGCTCTTCAGCTCCAATCTCTCCACCCTCTCGGCACCTTCCTTGGCTACTATGTTATCTATCTTCCAACTTATATCTGCCTCGTACCACTGCCTATGCTCGCTGCCGCGTGTCAAAAACATGTCGGCGGTTTCGTAAGGAATCCACATGTAATTGTAGAGAGACCGTAACCTGAACATTTTAACACACATTTTACTCACATGTATCACTTTCATATGTTAGTCTCATTGAAATATTGCGTCATTTTCTTTTTGTAATGGGATCTTAAGGTCAAACATTCGTCTTTAGGTTTAAATTTTGAAATATAACCAAAAAAAGAAAGAAAAACCTGGAGATAAAGTTAGTCGAGGTGAAATCCGAGTCTTCGTCAATTAGGGTTACGATCGTTGGGTTTAGATCTCGAAGTTCTTTCAATAAAACTGATCGGAGAGGATTCGAAGTTAAGGTTTCGTCGGGGATGTAATGAAGCATCATGTGGCAGTTAACGACGAGAGCTTCATTGAAGACGAATGGGTCGATTCGTAGTTGTTCGATAAGGGAGGAGAGGCCGTCGGAGTAAGAAGAAGAGATGATTCTAAACTCCATTGCTATGTTACGTGTTGTCGCGAAGTTTACTAGCTTTGAACCCAGCTCTTCGTAGGAGATTCCGAGCAACGGTGGCGGATGAGATTCGGCGTCGGAAGCAATGACAGTGAGTTTGAGAAGCGGAGGGGGTTGTTTGTGGAGTTTGTTTGCCATGGAGTCTATAAGAGTAGGGATTTGCATGCAGTGAGTCAAACTTAAGTCAACGATGTGAACAGAGGAATAACCTTCGACGGCGTCAAGGATTGCGGCGTTCGCGGCTATGAATCCGAAACGGTGCCACGGCGTTAAGTCGACAAACTCAGCGAGCTCTATGACGGAGAACCGGTGTAGCATTTTCTGGGAGACGGAAGCGGTAGCAGCCAGTGATAGAAACGCGAACGCAGGGCTTTTGGAGGCGGCGCGTGAGATTAACGCGCGGAGGAAGGAGGAAGCGAGTCTCTGAGTTGAGTCTCCGTCGGGTGAAGCGAGGTTGTTGAGCACCCAAATGATCTGTTGAGCCAACGTGGCGTCGTTTGATTCGATGGCCTTTGCGCAATGGAGGAGAAGCTGCTCCATGCAGTTGGCATCGCCGCATAGAGATTTGGAAGAAGAGAAACCAGGCCAAATGGGTCGGGTCGGGTTTATAATTTGGGTTGTGTTCATAATTGGACGTTGGAGATGGGAATGAGAAAAAACAGAGGAGGAAGAAGAAGAAGGCAGACAAGCAATGCGAATAATAATAAATGCAAATGAGAGCTTTTGAAGAAAACAAAGAAAGAGGATGAGAGAGTGTTGAAGGCAAGAAGGAAGAAAGAGACGAGACATATTGACTAGTACCTTATCAATATGAAACGCACCGTTCTAATACTCAAAACGAGACAAAACCGTAGATGTATAGGTACAGCTTTTTTGCTGGTCATGTGTGCTTTCATTTTCGTTTCTCTGGGTCTTAATTTATGTAGGTGTTGATATGTCTGAAATAGCTAAAATTTAGGTTATAGTAGTCTTCTGCATTTATGCTGGTATATATCTCTATATATGGACAAAATATTTAAAGTTTAAACCATTCGTAAAAGTTTGTACATTTTTCTTACCTGGTCTTTCCCTCCAAGTTCTCGTAACGTTCCATATATAGATATTTGTTACTTCCTATCAGTTTAAGGGTGCAAATGGTTGCCTAAAATTAAATGGTTGAAAGAGTTGAATGAGCATTCATCTAATTTTTTACCATTTGAGATGAATAAGTTGAAAAAATGGTTCAACCCATTCAACTCAAAAAAATGGAAAAATGAACTAATTATAAAGAAAATTTGTTCAACTTGTTCATCTCCTATTTCGCAGAGGAATGAGTTGAATACTATTCAATCTTTTTTTTCTTTAACTCAATTTTTCTAATTTTTCATCCATATGCAACCATTTGCACCCTAAATAATTAATGGAGTAAAACAACTTTTGCTTATAAACCGTCTAAACTATTTTGGCCAAAAAAAAAAAAAAACAGTCTAAAACTATTTTTCTTTTTTAAAACATGTGGCAAACTCCCTGCAAGGCTGCAACACTGTTTTGTCGTGTAAACTTTATGGTCCACTAATTTAAATATCTTTTTTTTTTTTGTCAATCAGACACCATATATTAATTCACGGAATAAGACTTTATTCTAGAGAGAGCCAATCAGGGACCGTCGAACTTACATGGGAAAAACAGAACCCGCGATTTCTTGCACATTTCGCAAGATAATCGGCGGAGGTATTACCACTACGGGAGATATGCTTAAGACTGAAAGTAGTAAAACGATCCCTATAATATGCAAAGTCTTTCAATTCTGTAGAAAACGTAGGCCACTCTTCAGGAGCACCAGTCATAGCCAATAGGTCAGAACAATCCGTCTGAATGAGGATGCTCGTCAATGGGATTGCCACTAAGCACTTCATCGTCCATAAAAGAGTATCCAGTTCCGCATGAAGGGGAGAAAGACTTCTACGCAAGCCTTTTAATCCCAAGTGTAGAAGTCGTCCTCCTTGATAAACAAGCCACCCGTGTCCACTCCTAGTCTCCGTCCCGAGCCAAGATCCATCAATATAGCAAACCGGGCAATCCTCTGGAGATGGCGGCTCATGCGTACTAGTTACCAGCCCGGCCTGGGGGTCTTCTCTCTGATTTGCTCGCCTCCACGCGCCTTCCTCCTGAGTTGCAAGATCTAGCGTTTCCTGAAGTGGGACGCTTAAATTCTCAAAAATCTTTCGATTGCGCGCCTTCCAAATATACCACATAATCCATGGGAATACTCTTAGGCTCTCTTCATCCGCCCCCACCTCTTTACCCCGCCAATACAGATAATCTAAGTTATTGTAGAGTGACGCCGAGGGAAACAGCGTTGGGGAAGATGGAATGTTGGAGAGAGCCCAGACTTGTCTAGCAGGAGGACATTCAAAGATCAGGTGGTTGATTGATTCTTCTTCTGCACCACATCTTGAACATCCTTTATCTCTACCGATATGGCGATAAAATAGTCGTTGGCTCGAAGCCAAACAACCAGAGACACATTGCCACACGAAATGCTTTAATTTTTGCGTAGTTTTTAATTTCCAAGCTTGCGCCTTTAGTGTCGTAACACTAGGTCCCTGAGAAGGGTGGTCGCAAACAGGGCGAGAAATGCTTCTCGCGACCTCGTAACCAGTTTTGACGGTGTAATTACCCGACTTCGTCATTGTCCAACAATATCCATCACTCGAGACAATACGACTCGGTTTGATCCCTAATATAAGGGTAATTTCCTCTGGGGGAAAAAGTTCCCGGAGACGATCCATCTTCCACTGTTTAGACCCAAAATCAATTAAGGTATTAACGTAAGCCAAGGGGTCTCTCTCCATCGATAATCCCCTAGGTGGGCGTGCCGGAGTTTCTGGTATCCAAGGGTCTGTCCAAATGCATGTACCGAAGCCCGAGCCAATGGTCTTACGGATTCCATATTTAAGAACGTCCTTGGCGGCCAGCATGCTTCTCCAACCATACGACGGACGATTGGAGACAGTGATCTCTAACGGGCTAGAGTACCGAAAGTATCGTCCTTTAAGAACCCTACTAAGGAGAGAATCTGGAAATCGTAGTAATCTCCATAATTGCTTCGCCAAGAGTGCGAGATTAAAATCTTCCAAGGACCTAAATCCAAGCCCTCCGTCTGATAATTGGGTACAAAGTTGGTCCCAAGCTATCCAGTGAATTCCACGGCTTTCTGCTTTATTACTCCACCAAAAATTGACAATTGCACTAGTAAGCTTAGAGCATATTGCTTTTGGCAGTAGGAAGCACGACATAACGTATGTCGGAAGAGCTTGTGCCTGTGATTTGATTAGGACTTCTTTTCCGCCTTTAGAGAGGAATTTAGACGACCACGAGTTTACTCTAGATTGTAGTCTATCTCTCACAAACGCAAAGACCTGAGCTTTGGATCCATGGATTTTTTCAGGGAGGCCTAAATAAGTTCCCATCCCGCCTTCACGTGAAATCCCAAGAATTGTTTTGATTTCCTGCCGGACCGGGGGTGGGACCTCGTTACCGAACATAATAGATGATTTATTCAGATTAACCTCTTGTCCAGATGCCCCGCCATATGAGCGGATGATGTCAATAACTTCTCTACTCTGGTCCACATTGGCCTGGCAGAAAAATAGGCTATCATCAGCAAATAGGAGATGTGAGACTCGAGGGCTCGCATGAGAAATCCGAAGCCCCTGAATTTTGCCTTCTCTTTCAGCCTTTCTGATCTGAGCGATAAGTGCTTCCGTACACAAGATAAAAAGGTACGGAGAAATTGGGTCTCCTTGACGAATCCCTCGGGTTGGTCTAATCCGGCCTTTTGGATCGCCATTAATCAAAATCCGATATGACACTGAGGTAATGCATTGCATTATCCAATCTATCCAACGAATGTTGAATCCCATCTTTTCCATCAAGGCTCGGAGGAACCCCCATTCCACCCTATCGTAGGCCTTACTCATATCCGTTTTTAGAGCCATAAACTTCTTTCGATTTGCCGGATTAGAACGAAGAGCATGGAAGTTTTCTTGCGCTATCAGGATATTATCAGTAATTAATCTACCTGCAACGAATGCAGATTGCGTCTCGGATATTAACTCCGGAAGGAATCTCTTTAGCCGAAGGCTTAAGATTTTTAAAATAACCTTATAGCTTACATTACATAAGCTAATAGGACGAAAACCTGACATTACACGCGGTCTTTCCCCTTTAGGGATAAGACATATACTGGTCTCATTCAGCTTCCCGTCAAAAATTCCGGAGCTAAAGAAATTCTTCACCATATTGGTGAGATCGCCTTTTATGACTTCCCAAAACCGTTGGAAAAAAAGAGCAGTCATCCCGTCTGGGCCTGGGGCCTTAGTCGGATTCAAGGTGAATAAGGCGCGCTTGACTTCTTCTTCGGTGACTTCTTTAACTAAGAACTCATTCATAGCTGGGGTAACCGATGGTGAGATGTCTCGGAGAGCGGATACTGGATCCATCGGGTTCGATGAAGTAAATAGGTTTTCAAAATAATCCACTGCGACTCTTTCGATACCATCTTCATTATCTATCCACGTCTCATTATCATCTAGAATGCCTAAAATCTTGTTCTTCGCCCTTCGTTGTTTCGTCATAGCGTGAAAATATTTTGTATTTTTATCACCCAGCGCTAGCCAATTTTGGCGACTCTTTTGGTACCAAAATATTTCTTCCTCGGTGTAGGCATCGCTCAATTGCTTTTTGAGCTCCCGAAGTTCATCCAAAGATGCATTGTCATCCGCGTAATTTTCTTCAATTTTGTCATGAAGTTCCTTGATGAGTACCTCAGAGTTGGTTCGTGTTGATTTCTTCCAGATGGAGATAACTCGTTTGCAGTTTTGGATTTTTTTCATTAAGGGTCGGTCAGCTCGACCACTCTCTCCATTCCATCCTTCCAATACTGCTTCGGTAAGGCCCGGTTTCCCAATCCATCTTTTATCAAACATGAATTTTCGCGAGGGCTTCCTCGGACTTGATTGTATAGATGCAAGGAGTGGTCTATGATCCGAACCCCACATCTTTAAGTACTCCACATTAGTGTGAGAAAAAATATTGTGCCATTCTTCATTGCCCATAGCTCTATCTAGTCGACATCGAATCTTACCATTTGTCCGTTGTCCAATCCATGAAAATTGATTTCCATGAAAGGGAAAATCAATAAGTCCACACGAATGGATCATAGCACGGAATGGTAGAAAGGAGGCTTCAGAACGTTTTTTTCCTCCTCTTTTTTCGTGGTTACCTGTTATCTCATTAAAGTCTCCAATAATAAACCAAGCTTCGGGTCTAGAGACACCGATACGCATTAGTCGTTCCCAAACATATTCTCTATTTGAGACAACAGGATCACCATAAATAAATGTCATAAAGACCCGGTTGCCATTAATAATAGTCTCGATATCGATTAACCGGTCATCTAACAATAAAAACTTAACCGGGAAATCGTTCGAATACATTAAAGCTAAACCACCACTTAAACCCTCCGGTTCCACAGTTTGGAGGTTATCAAAACCTAGATCTACTTGCACATCTTGCAGATACAATTTTGCATTCTTCGTTTCTGATAAAAATAAAAAACCTGGCGAGTACATCCTATTCAACTCTACCAGTCGGCGCCGAGTATCTTTTGCTCCCGCCCCTTGACAGTTCCAAGCTATAGTCCTCATGCTGGCGGGTCGGGGGAGATCCGGGGCTCCTCCTCACCGTTTTTAGGCTTCATGGCCTTAGTAGCTTTCTTCTTGTTGTCCTTATCCTTTTTATTCTTGGTTGAAACCGCCTCATTCTGAGGGATGTTTGTACCGGAACTTGGTGGAGTCGCTTCAATTGGGCTAGGCGCCGCTCTCTTCTTCGGCGAAGCTTTTCCTCCAAACAACTTTAATTTTCTTGAAGCCGCAATGCCGATTTTTGGGCTTGGGGGACCTGCTTTTTGGGCTCGGCCTTGCTTGCATCAGAGGTCCCACCAACTTCAATTGGGCCT